ACTTGACAGCACACAATTACTGAAAAGATTGGAAACATTACTTATTTGGGCTGGGAATTTCTGGGAACTGTAGTCCAAACAGTAGTTTTCTCAAGCTCCGATTTGAAAAAAGGTTGTTCTATGTGGCAGACGATAGAGCTGCTTCCACCAGCATGGTTTTCTGCCGTTTCCATCATTCCAGCTAGCTATGCTGGCTAGGAACAATGAGACTGTAGTCCACGACAGAGAGAAGGCACCAGCTTGCAGAAGAATTATCCATTATTTCTGATGGTTTTGCCATTAAAGAGTGAGGAAAGCTGGATTTTCAGGCACCAGGGACTACAAAGAGTCATTGCTGGGGCCACACACACCCAGTGAGAGAGCAGAGAGAATCATCTAGGGAGGAGAAAAGGTGAGTTGAACCAGGAGGCAGCTCCCCTGGGAGGGTAGCAAGGAAACACAGGTAAGGGAATGTCAAGATTTGTTCCTTTAAATGAACAAGTGGTTACATTTAATATTGAGAATGCAAAGTCATGCCTGTAAACATCAAGTCAATAGATGACTGATGGCATGCAGCTGGAACAAGCTTAGGTAGTGCTTGTTAACCACATTCAGCTGCTATGTATGCAGTGATAGGCTGCTCTCACTATTTAAGCAAGAAAGTGAGAATAGTACTTTGCCACTCAGTTGTGAGTCTGGTGGTCATTACTTCTGTGAATGTTATGTTGCTCTGAGAGATCTATGCCTATGTATATAATGCCATGTATATATGTCTGGCCAATGCTAATATATCAAGTCTATTATAGTCTGCTATAAGTCTTATCAGAACTCTCTCCGTGTTTTTCCTTATATGTCCATGTCTTTTCTTTACTTATAAAGGGGAGGATTTGAAGCTACCAGATAAGAGACTTTGTGTAACTTGTTATCTTGGGCTCCAAGGTTTGTTTTCCCTAACAGAGTGCTCTTGGAAGTTTCATTATCCAAATCTGACTCCAAGCTTCTGGAGAGGCAAACGCCATATCCACCTTTGGAGTTGGACCCATGCAACAAGGAGTGGTGGTGAAAATCTTTGAAATGGAAAACATCTAAAATTGGCACATTTGAGAGGTATACTGAAGTATCTCTTATGGGGCTTTTTAAATGTTCACATAGTATCAGTTTGCCAACTGGACAAGGCACAGAGGTTTGGGATCTCACACAGACACATGCACGAGGATGGAAAGCCAAGCGTGAAGGCATGGCCGCACAGCTTAGAATTAGACATGGACACAAATAAGAAAAAAATGGTGATTAGTTTTGATTCATGATTCATCAAGATTGAAGAATCACAAATTACAAATTTACAAAAGAATTATGACAAATTGATGAACCAATTCATCAATCCATTTTTTATTTTAAAACCCTGTAAAATGGGGACACCAAATTCTCAGGTCAAATTCTCCTGACTCCCCTCTGCAAGGCCTACAAGATCGGTGAATTTTGGGCTATACACCCACAAAGATGCCTCTGAGGAAAGTTTCCCCCAGGCACCTAGAGAAACCAAAATCACAGAGAAGCTTCTATTGACTCTCCTCTACCACCCCTCCAAGTTTGGTGAAGATTGGATTTCAGATATCTGAGTTATACACCCACAAAGCGGATCACCCCAGGAAAGTGCCCTTTAGCAACTGGCTTGGAGAAACTCAATCTTCACCAAATTTGGAGAGATGGCAGAAGAGTCACGAGAAGTTTCTCTGTGGTTTTGGTTTCTCTAGGTGCCTGGGGTGAACTTTCCTGGCGGGGGGGCTCTTTGTGGGTGCATAACTCAGACATCTGAAATGCAATCTTCACCATACTTACACGGCTTGTAGAGGAGTCAGGGGGAACTTTTCTGTATTTTGGTGTTTCTATGTACGGGGGGGGGCATTTTTAGGGGTTTAAAGGCAAAAACAAATCAATAAATTGATGCTTAGAATCTAAACCTTAGTGTGTGACTGATGAGTCACGGCATAGCTTGTTGAACAAACCTCTGACTTCTCTCTACAAAACTGTATGATGGGAGGCCTTCACGCAGCAAGTTATTATGTCCTGACTTGCCAGTTTGTCCAAAATCTTGTAAACTATGGTTACTTGTGTGCAACCTATAGTTTGAAGCCATGTATTAGAGCTAAATTTATATGATCTTATTCAGCTACCAACAGCAATTACAGGAACCTTTAACTGTAGCTACTTAACAAACCCCTTGCAAAGCACTGGAATGTGTATAACACCCACTGTAGCTGTTGCCTGACATCTATGCCCTGCTATATAACAAGAGACTGGAATTTTGTACTGCCTATGACAAGGGTATTGCTCACACACCCATGAGATGTATGCATAAAATATCCCAGCTCAGGGATTATGTTTAAGATCTTACCTGACATACATAAGATCTGTACCCTGTAAAATAAATATCAGAATCTATCATATATTTCAAAGAACATACTAAAATCTTACTGGAGCTCAAGAACAAAACTTGAAAAAATCCAGAAATAGTAGTAACCCTATCTTCTTCTTCATATTTACTACAATTCCCTCTGATCCCACCAAAAATGGCAATACAGTAAGTGTTTTTAACACAACTAATTCTGAACCTGCTAGAGACTGATTTTATCACTACCAGACCCTATGCACTGCATGCAATTGTGACCTTTGAGAAATATTTTTAGCTGTTATAAAGTGGAACATGCCATTCAGCATCCCAATGAGAGAGTTAAGAGACAAACAGAAAGAACCTGGCTCAAAAAGCACAGACATGTACATGTACATGTCTCCTAAAATCTCTGTTCACCTTTCCTAATCTAGATGAAGATTCTTTCTATTGCTGCATCCATGCTTCAAAGGTATGGCATGAAAGCCTTCAGGTCAGATACAGTAACTATTCAGATCTACCAAATTCCAAAATGCTCTTTTTCCCCCTCCTTGTCCCTTTTCTCTTCTTCTTCTTCTTCTTCTTTGCATGTTCAGCTGAATTTGTGTAATTTAAATTTGTTAACCACTTACAGTATTTGAACAAATCTTCTCTTATGTAATCATGTAAAGCAACAGGATTCTGCCCATTGTGTTCATAAAGCTTCAGTCATCCACAATATAAAGGAGACTTCTAGAAATCTGAGTATCGATCTAAGCATAGTGGTCTCAACTGATTCTTAAACCTCTCATTTGCTTGCTCATTATCTATCTCTCTATCTACCACCCTGTCCATGCAATGAACTATTCTGGGCAGTTTACAACATAATAAACATACACTGTAACAAAAAACTACAAATGAACGATTAAAAAAAAACATTTAGAAAGATGAAAAAACAAATGGCACCAAGAGCAAATTATCTCTGAGATAGCAGGACAAGAGACGTACAAATCAAGTAGGGTCAATGTGGAAGACTACCTGGAAAAGCAGCATTTTAAGATGCCTTCTAAACATTAGCAGGGAGGGGGGCCAGGTGTAGCTCCACCAGGAGCTGGTTCTACAGAGTTGGTGGCACTGCAAAGAAGACTCAGCCCCTCATAGGTTACTTCTGGGCCTCCTCTGGAGTGGCTACCAAGAGGAGCATAGACTGGGAGTACAGTGGTGCCTCGCTTAACGGGCGCTCTGTTTGACGACGAAATCGCTAGACGTCGATGTTTTTGCGATCGCAAAAGTGATCGCAAAACGATGTTCCCTGGAACAAATTAACATCGTATTGCGAGGCGCCATTGTATCTGGTAGGTCAGGCACATGAAATTGGGGAGAGACAAGTGGTGGAGAGAAGAAGATAATGACAGCAGGAAAATAAGATCCTATTTTCTATTACTTAACTCTTATAATCTTCTCCCCAAAAGTGACAGCCCTGCCAGAGCAATCTAACACAGAAACAAGCTTTACTGAGATTAATAGGGTTTACATTTATGTAAGTGACTATAAGATTGTAATCCCAAACATCTTGTTACAATCCAGTTATTTTAGGAGGTTTTCCATTCTGCAGGAAATCTAATACATTTAATAAAGGCACTCAGTGGATACTTGAATTAATAAAGCTACAGCTATAACTAGAATCCTTTGGAAGGGACTCCAAGAGACAAAAAGGCAGCAAGGTAGACAGCAAAGAAATGATTCAAAGCCCTGTTCTAGCAGCACTTTTACTTTCTTCCTCCAAAGGACCATAACCACCAATTGTCCTAGGGAAAAAAGGATTCCTACAGAGGAAGCCCAGCAAAGACTGCATCAGAGTCCTGCTCCATGTGCACTGTCCCCCCACTTTCCCCACGGAGACTTCGACCATCAGCTGCCCTTTGGACCCATACTTATGAGATTTTATTTTTAAAACATTGTTTCTTACAGAGGTAAAAACAATTGTAGTTGTCAAAATGTTAATCTTCAAATTCCAATGTGGCTCAACTATGACTATCCTTGTTAGGACTGATAGAATGTGTAGTCCTACAACACACGAGAGACTATATTTTGACCACATCAAGTTTCTGGTGGTTTTACTAATGTATTGTCAGATAAGTCAGATAATCAGATAACTTGGGATATATAAATAATATTTTTAAATCACCTAGGAAGTACTTCTATTCTGACAGGCAAGATGTAAATAACTGTACTAAATAAATGCTACCAAGTTCCTCAATTTCTACATCACTCTTGCAAAGTCTTATCTCTGTGAAATCCTCTGTGCAGGCACACATGCACGTGTGAAAGGGAAAGTCTTATGAATGCCACATGCATTCCCTTCCAAACGCCTCCCCTTTGCTGCTTCCAGTTAACTTCCCTCAATAGTTTTCCAACCTACAAAAACGCTATAGATTTTGCAGCCACCTAACAACTTGAAAAATTATTCATACAGGCATTGTTACTCCACTGTATACAATACAGAATAGCTGTCACCATAATAATCCAAATAACAGGGGGACAATAAATTGAGAAGTTTAATCTTATTTTTACTGAGTGAATATTCCTAGTCAAAATTGTTACAAGCCACAAGACACTCAAGAATGCAATTTCCTCTCCCATAATTATTTACCTTCAAATTACTCTCTGTGTGGTACTTGGCACAAGATCGGAGCTGAGTCACCCAGTACTGTCTTTCTTTTATATCAGTAGCTAGAAATAAACATATACAAAAATATTCTGTAATTCAGTTAAATCAATTTTTTTTCAAAATGTAGAAAAAGTTCTACAGTTACAAAGACTTGCAATCCTTATATTACCTATAATAAAAGCAGACTTTTGGATAGCTTTTCTGCCCTATATTCTAACAATGAATTTTAGTACGTATTTACACAATAAAAGGTAAATATAAAGGTTCCCATTGACAATTTTTGTGCAGTCGTGTTCGACTCTAGGGGGCGGTGCTCATCCCCGTTTCCAAGCCATAGAGCCAGCGTTTTGTCCGAAGACAATCTTCTGTGGTCACATGGCCAGTGCGACTTAGACACAGAACACTGTTACCTTCCCACCGAGGTGGTCCCTATTTATCTACTTGCATTTGCATGCTTTCGAACCGCTAGGTTGGCAGGAGCTGGGACAAGCGACAGGTGCTCACTCCGTCGCGTGGATTCAATCTTACGACTGCTGGTCTTCTGACCCTGCAGCACAGAGGCTTCTGCAGTTTAGCCCACAGCACCACCACGTCCCTTATTTACACAATATATTATGGTTATTATTCAAAGAAATATTGATCAATCAATACATGAAAGAGTTTATCCCACCTGCAAGGAAACATGCCTATAATATGAAATTCAGGGCAACGTACCACATCAATTTGCCTAAACTAGCACATAGTTAAATCAATAACCTTTTTTAAGTGTGTACTTTTTAATTTTTAAAATGTAATTCTAAACCAAATACAGCCATCTTAAAATAAAACTGTTCTCACCTTATGCCGATGAAGAATATGGATAACATCAAGTCACTATAATGATTTCATATGGGAAATGTAATCATCTTCAATGTAGTGATAATTAGCATTTTAATGAGGTAAAATGTATACCACATTTTTTTCATGTAAAAGACAATTCTTTTTCCTAAAATCATTGGAGGAAAAATTGAGGGTCATCTTTTACATGGAAGTAAGCTGAGGAGAATACCGCGTGGTAGCAAATCTGCCTACCCTATGCTCATCAGTGGGGTCTGGAGGCACCTCTGTGCTGGGACCCATCCCCTCCATTTCTGCTTCTGCTGCTGCTTCACAGATCTGAAACAGTGTGCGCTGTTCCTCCTCGCCTGCAAGCAGATCTGGAGTGGGGTGTGCATGCACACCGCGGTGCTTAAGAAATGGAGGGGTAAAGCAGCGATGAAAGGGCTGCAGGATGAAAGGGCTGCAGGATGAAAGGGCTGCGATCCTGCAGCTCTTTCATTGCTGCTTTACCCCTCCAGTTCCTAAGCCCCGAATGGAGGGATAAAGCAGCAATGAAAGGGCTGCTTTACCCCTCCACTTCCTAAGATCACTGCTTCCCCCCTCCACTTCCGCAGCCTTTGATCCTGCTTTCACAAGGCTTAGGAAGTGGAGGGGGAAAGCAACAATCAAATTTTCTTATTTGGGGTTGGAAAAGTGGGGGGTCGTTTTATACATTGGGTCATCTTATACACAGAAAAATACGGTACTTTCGCTGATACAGTACTTTTGAAATATGGATATTTTATCTTTTTGTTTTAAGAGGGATCCCACCTTCATGTTTTTTCTCCAAAACTTTTAAATGAAAACTGTTTTTAAAATTTCCATCTGAAGAAAACATCATATAAAACTGCCATGTAAAACAATCATTTATCATCTTGTATTGTATATGCGGGACAACTGGAGTGAAGTTCCCATTCTTATCAGCATATAAAATTAATCCTGACATGATTTGAATCTCTTATGAAAGATTGTTTTGTTTTAAGCATCTTATTTTCAGTCATTCAATTAATTCTAAATATTTCCCTTTAAAAAAAGATACAAAAGATTAGAACAGCATCATATATTTAAACAGTATGCATCAGGCCAAAGCATGAAGGATATAGCTCTCAGAGTTTACCAATCATGAGGGCTATACACTTAGGAAGTAGAGTAACACAGAGATGATTAACCCAACAAATCTGAGAATCTATCCTTTTGGGGAATCCAGACAGCTATATTTAAGATAATAGAAGCCCCATGATCACTAATCGGTAGCTCTGGGAGGTGAGATAACAGCAATCTGCTTGAATTTCGAACAATTCTCTTTTTTGTTTCTTAGCATAATGTTTGGTATGTAACATTAAGGGTACCTTGGAACAGAGATACTACTTGCTGAGGTATGGCAGAGTTCCTTAAATACAGTCACTAGAAAAACACTAAAGCTAGTAGAAAGCAGCAAAAATGAGATGAACTAACTTTACATTACAAAAGGAAGCCTCAGCCTTTCATTTGTAAGATCTGATCACAGCTGTTAATGATACGATATTTTGTAGGTCGCTATCTTATAGGATAATCATGCATCAGAAACAACTTGATAGCACATAACAGCCCTTCACATTTATGTGTTAGATAAATTTATGGAGGTTGTAACTTTCAGTTGTTCCACTGTAACAATTTCTGAAGAAGTAGCTGTGGTAGTATGTGCCAGCACGTTGACCAAATGAATCAAGAAAGAAAGGAATTCTGAAGAAGTAGATTTTGACCCATGAAAGCTCACATTGAAATAAATCTATTAGTCCTTAAAATGCAACAACAGTTTGCCTTTTTCCCCTTCATTTCCCCCTCTCATTTCTTCCCCCCCCCCTAATTTTCCCAACAGAGTGGATACATTCGTTAGTCATGATAGATATATGCTACCTCCAGAGTCAAAACAAGCATGTTTCTAAATAAATTATCACTAGGGAAACATAGCTTCCCAGAGGCATCCAGCTGGCTACTGTGGGAAACAGGATGCATGGGTAGGTAGATGAAATATGAAGATTGCCTCACTTCACTCCTTGTGCTCTCTCTTACCTCTAAAATAATAGCAATTATGTACTTTCAAGTTGTTTCTAACTTATGGTGACCTTTTTTAGAGTCTTCCAAATATGGTATATTCAGGTTTACCATACTTTTTTTCTCTAGGTACTCTGAGACTGCATAGGTTGTCAAAGGGGGTTGTCTCTTCTCCAACAAAGCACACCGAGGAACTACACCCCTAACCCTGGTGCTCCAGCTCACTAAGCTACTGAGCTATTCCCCAGAAGAGAAATCCATTAACACTAGGTCCCAGCCTCTCCTCAGCTTAGGCTGAAAAAAAAGACAGCCCATTGGCAAGATTCTTTTTAGGTTATGCTTAAGGAAACTTCGTTTTATAAATTGGTTCTGATGTGAATCAGGCTGCCTGTTCCAACCACAGAATATTTTTTTTCTTAAAAAGTGTTATTTCAGTTATAACCACCACGCCATAAATTTTTCTCTCATTCAAACAAAAATGTTGGCCATAATTAAGCCAACTGCAGTTGGGAAAATGTAAGTGATAAGAACACAAGATTTTTTAAAAACAAGAAAAGCAACAGAATACTGTACCTCTTAGTTTATACATCTCTCCATTAGTAGAGTACACCACCAACATGTTTGGAGCTTCATCACTGAGAGAGATGATAGCTCCAGCTAAGGACAGCAACCCTCGTGGCTTCTGATTCTTACTTTGTTCATTCACATAATACTGTAGAATTCCAGCTTCGAAATCCAGTATGAAGTACCTGTTAATGAAAGGACTTTTTTAAAAGCCTGAAGACATACAATGTTGTACAAAATATGGAGACATTCTCATTTTTAATACTGTATTAAAATGCATACAGAGTTGAAGCACAGTAGAGTTCCTTCCCAGCTTCCACATTCACCATTGCTCATGCCTGTACTGTATGTAGATGGAACATAAAATACATTTTTTATAGAATGTCACCCATTCATGAAAACTATTACTGTGGCCAAAATCCTATTTGTTTTTTCCATGCATGCAATCGCTTACTAAACAGCAGAAATATTTTAACACCAACTGTGAAAGGAAGTACTGTATCCGCTACTCCCCTTTGCACAGGTAAACCCTGTTGTTCTTAACAGGGCAATCTCCTGCTTGCATAAGTGCAAGCAGAGGTCACTGAAGTAATCATGGAGCACTTCACTGAAGGAAGAGTTACACTCTGCAACTGCCAACAGGATTCAGCCCACTGTCTCTCCACAAAGCCACCAGTCACAGTGAAACAAATTCTGCTCAATTCTATATTTCTTACTTTATTATTCAACTAAGGAATAAAGTGGTATTTATTCTTGATATTAAAGGATGAGCAAACTGAACTGATGCAGAAAAGGGCAAAGTTACATTTAGACTATGCCAGCAAAGAATGCACATAGTGAATTAAGTCTGAAAGACAATTATGTTGGTGGATAAAATGTCTTTTATGTTACCAAGAAACTGCCCGTTACAATGAGCAAACTGAATTGATGCAGAAAAGGGCAAAGTTACATTTAGACTATGCCAGCAAAGAATGCACATAGTGAATTAAGTCTGAAAGACAATTATGTTGGTGGATAAAATGTCTTTTATGTTACCAAGAAAGGCAGGATAACTAAACAAGATGCAGAGCTGACACTGGCGAAGAAAGAAGCATGAGTACTGGGGGAAGTTGGAGGGAGAAATTCTGGGGAGCCTGGACCAATCCAGGAAAAACTTTTTGTCCCCCAACACTGTGGGCATATAGACTCTCTGTTAGAGGCAATCAGGAGAACAGGGTGTCCTGGTCTTGGGACTATATCGCCTGCAGAGCCATCTTTGGTGTCATCGGTGGATGGAATCAGAAGACTAGAATAGAGATGGGCACAAATCAGAAAAACTGTGATTCGTTATGATTCATCAAGGTTGGTGAATCACAAATAATGAATTTACAATTTTTTTCCTGATGAATCAATGAATCAATTCATTGATTTATTTTTGCCTTTAAACCCCTATAAAATGTCCCCCAAATACTTAGAGATACCAAAATTGCATGAAAGCTTCCTCTGACTCTGCTCTACAAGCCCTGTAGTTATGGTGAAGATTGGGTTTCAGATGTCCAAGTTAAACACCCACAAAAAGCCCCTCCAGGAAAGTTCCCCCCAGGCACCTAGAGAAACCAAAATCACAGAAAAACTTTTCATGACTCTCCTCTACATCTCTCCAAGTTTTGTGAAGATTGGGTTTCCCCAAGCCAGCTGCTAAGGACACTTTCCTGGAGGGACCCACTTTGCGGCGATGTAACTCAGATGTCTGAAACCCATCAGGCATCCGAGTTATACACACAAGGGACTGTAGGGGAGAGTCAGGATTGTGGAAGAGAATCAGAGGAAGCTTCCCTGCAATGTTGGTGTCTCTAGGTTTCTGGAGGGCCACTTTATAGCCCAATGAATTGACAAATCAAAAATTGCTAAAACCTGTTGATTCATATTCATCAGGGGGCACTGATTTGTAGAAATACGGAATTGACAAGTTAGTGATTTCTGGATTAATTTGGTGATTCATTTTTTAAATTAGTGCCCATTTCTAGACTAGAGTCTTTAGAAACCAACTTTGGGTCAGTAGTGTCAACTAGGCCAGATGAAACAGGACAGACTCCAAACCATTTGTTGTTAAATCATTTCTAAGTTTAGTAGACCCTGTTGTGTTTTCAACTGTTAGTCTCCCATGCATGGATTCAAGGATGGAGGAGGGACTATGAGGGTTCGATTTCTGGCTCCTTTCTTTTTTCAAATATATCAGGAGATTTTTGCACTAGAAACAGGGGTGAGGTTTTTACTGGAGTGTTTAACACATAACTAGTGTCAACAAAGTTATCCCAACGTCTTTCTCCTTCTGATAACAGGTCGGTCAGGGGCTTCCATTCTTCATCGAGAAACGGGTTCTTTTCACCAGTGTCCCATGGACCTGGCCAGTCTATAGATAAGTTCAGGTCTACCACAGGTCCCACTTCACCTTCCAGCAGAGGCACGGTGTCCTTGTCGTGGTCATCCACCCACACGGAGCATCCAATGGGTGTGGGGGTCTTCCAGGGTCCTCCTGATAGTCCTTCTCCCAGATTTCTCTCCCCCTCCATTCCAACCTCTCTCTCTCTCTCTCTCTCTCCCTTCTCCTTTTCCTCTCTCAGCCTTCATCGCCACTTCCTGGCTTCTGCTTCTCCCCAATATGATGGTCTAGCGGGAATCTCTCTCGTTTCCTGTAATCAGCCTCCTCTCTGGGTACCCTCAGCTTCTCCCAAGCTTCAGTCCAGGGATCCTCCATCCAGACCCATTCCCAGCCTGGAGGTGACTGTTCCTCCCTCCTTTTTATATCTGCTGCTCCTGCCTCTATCTCCACCCTCTCCTTCTGTTCTGTTCCTGCCATATCTCCCTAAGTTCCTTCAACCGTTAATCTTTGTATTTCTCTCTCTAAATCTTGTGTATTAGTCCCTCACTGTTCTGTTCTCTTGGGGGATGAAGTGGACAGAGTCTGTATTTCTTTCTCAACAGTGTGGGGCAGGGATGGCACTCTGGCGAGAGGGTTACTGCTCTCGCCCTCTGTCTCACAGGGACTCATCACAGACTGGTGAGATTCACAATCTAATAATGGCATCACACACCTTTGCATTCAGATTCACCAAAGGGGGCTATAACCAAGTAAGTACTCCAGGATTTTAGCCTTACAGTGAAAAATAGAGCTTTTATCTTAGGCTATACTTCTTCCAGAGCACTGCAAAATCTAGAAACACATATTGACACAGTTAAGGTAATGGCTTTTTTTAAAAAATGGGAAAGGAAAGAGTGAAAGAATATAAATACTGGACTATAGCTCAATGAAGTGTGTGTGTGTTCAGGGAACCACCAAATATTGGATGTCAGTTAGAAAAGAAAACTAAGACACAGAAAGAAATCTAAGATGAGTACAAAGAAGAGTGTAATGGTCTCTTGAGCCCCCAAACAGTTTATAATTTTCTGGAGGAATGCAAAGCTGGCTGGTCCTTTTAACACAGACAATCCTGAGAGGCTGCAAGGATATACAACCATTTTGTTGAAGGTTCATCTTTATTGCTGTTTATTATTCACATGTGACCTCAGCTTTACTTTCCCACATACATGTGTAACTATAGTAATTCAATGTTTTAAATTTGCACCATTCTGGAATGGTGACATAAATACCGTGTTTCCCTGAAAATAGGGCAGGGTCTTATATTAATTTTTGCTCCAAAAAACACATTGGGCCTTATTTTCAGGGGATGTTTTATAATTTGTTTCCATGTACAACAATCTACATTTATTCAAATACAGTCATGCCATCTTTTTCTGGTTGCTACACAATGGTGGAGCTTCACTTAACTGGGGCTTATTTTTGGGATAGGGCTTATACAGTGGTGCCTCACAAGATGAATGACTCGCAGGACAAAAAACTCACAAGATGAATGGTTTTGGCAATGAGGTTGATGATTCGCAAGACGACTATGTTCCTATGGCTGTACTTCACAAGACGAATGTTTTCCTTTTTTTTTTTTTGTTCATGCCTCATGTTTGCTGATTTTTAAATGTTTTTCTATTATGTTTAAAAACTTATAGTTTTTTGATTGAAATTTTTGAAATCATCTGCACAATATGTATGGCTTTAAAGAGCACCTAATAAACCCTTTGTAAACCAAATTTGACTTTGTTCTGACTTTTTTTGCCCATAGGAACGCATTAATTAGATTTCAATGCATTCCTATGGGAAAACGTGTTGCGCAAGACAATTTTTCGCAAGATAACATTAACTGCGGAACAAATTAAATTTGTCTTGCGAGGCACCACTGTATTTCAAGCATCCTGAAAAATTATACTAGGGCTTATTTTCAGGTTAGGTCTTATTTTTGGGGAAACAGGGTACACCACAGTAGCTTTCACTGATTTATTTTAAGTTTGTTATTCATCTGAATACAGACAATGTCAATAAGAAGCAGAGAGAGAAGAAAGAGAAGACAGTGAGTACTGTGTAGCAACAAAGCAACTGCAGACTATTTAATTTAATAAAACAATTTAATTTTAAATCCAGTAACTCAATCTGTCTAAATTTTTTTCATTTCAACTAAAGAAGAAAACATTTAGGTACAAATGAGACCGCAAGTGCAAAGCTATACTGTATTTATGCAACCCTATGCCTTGAAGGTGGTCAACACAGGACTGAGACCCCTGGTTGGCTCAGATTCTTTAAATACTGGATCAGAATCTGTTTCTTCTCAGCCCTGGACATCCTATTCTAAGCGCTGCTTTCTGACAGTATATTTCCAAAAGGTTTGGCCCTATTTCTCAAGAAAATCAACACCCTGGGGTTGTCACCAAATCTGCTGGGTTTAATACCCACTTTCAAGGTATTCCATACAATCAAAAATAGAGTTCTGGATATTGAGGGGCAGACCCTGCATAGCACTGCACAAAGGGTTTGTTCTCCACTATATTTTCAGTTGTCCCTCTCTCATGGCAGAAGACTGAATTACCTCTATCATTTAGAGCAGTCACAAGATTGATGGGCATTTACCCTTGCAAGGTGCAATATTGTACCTTCGAGCTTAGCACAGGGCAGATATATGGGTTTACTCACAGAACTGAGAGTCTGCCCCTGTAGTCAGGGAGTGGTTGAATCCTTGCAGCATATGTTGTTCTACTATATCTTGTATAAGAATATCTGCCTGTCTTATCTGAGCACTTTCCTTTCCTCCCATTCTGGATG